ACTTATTTCCTAATTGCAGATTTGTACCCTTAAATAACATCTTCCAATTCCGCTGCGCCACGGCCCCTGGAAATCAGCATTCTACCCTGTTTTTATGAGTTTAACGTTTAATCCACATATCAGTGATATGATACAGTGTTTGATTTGCTAATTTATCTCAATTTTAGCATAATGCTCCCCAAATCCATTCATGTTGTTGCAAATGGCAGAATTTTTTCCTTTTTATGGCTGAATTTTCTTTATTTATTCTTCTGCTGACCGACACTTAGGCTGTTTCTATTGTTGGTTGTTGTGAATGCTGCTGCCGTGAATATGGGAATGCAGGTGTCTCTATGAGATAGTGATTTCCTCTCCTTCTTTGTCCTTGATCATCTTAATAGACGTAGAAAAATCATTTCACAAACTACCGCATCTTTTGATGGTAAAATCCTTAACAAATAAGGTATAAAAGGAACACACCACAATATAATCCTATATAATAAAGAGCTAATATGCTAATTAGATGGAACAGCAGGACAGACAATCTTCTAGACGAAGTCAGGACTGCAAGGGGCTGCCAGGGCTGAGCCCCTTGCATGAATTTCATTCATGGGACCTTTAGTAAAATCATAAATGCCAAGCCCTCAGCTAACATCATCTGCATTGGTAAAAGCTTTGAATTGCATTCAAAAGTTCTACCCTTTTACTTCCCTCTTTATACTTTTGCTGTCACAATTTACCTCTTTTTTTATATTGTATATTTATTAACAGATGATAGTAATTGAGTTATTTTTATTACTCTTTTCCTTTAACTTTTATCTTACAGTTAAGTGGCTAACACACTGAACTAGAATTTTCTAAGTCTCACTCTATATTTACCTTTACCTGTGTGTTATATACTTTCATATGTTTTTATGTCACTAATTAGCATTTTAAAATTTCAGCTTGAAGAACTTTCAGCATTTCTTGTGATGAAGTCCCTCAGCTTTTGTTTCTCGGGAAAAAGTATTTCTCTTTCAGGTCTGGATAGTTTTTCCAGATAGAGTATTCTTGGCTGACAACTATTTCCTTTTAACACTCTGAATATATCATTCTACTTTCTTAGCTTGTAGGGTTTCTGCTGAGAAATCTGTGGAAAGTCTAATGGGGGTTCCTTTGGAGGTTACAATATTTTCTCAGCTGCTTTCAGGATCCTTTCTTTTTCTTTGATTTTTGACAGTTTCATTATAATGTATCTTGGAGATCTTTTTGTGTTGAGGTAGAAGGTGATCTATTAGTTTTGGGAACTTGGATGTCTGAGGCTCTCCCCAGGTTTGGGAAGTTCTCAGCTACTACTTCTTTAAATAAACTTCTTGACTGCTTCATCCTCTTTTTTCTTTCTGGAACATAAATCATGTTAATATTTATAAGATTGAATCCCATAGGCTTTCTTTACTGTTTTGCATCCTCCCCCTCCCCATCCCGCATTCACCTCTAATTTGGTTATTTCAAGGTTTCTATCATCTAGGTTGCTTATTCTGTCTTCCATTTGATTTACTCTGCTGCAGATTCCCTGTATTGATTTTTTTCCAATCATTGAATTTTTCAGCTCCAGAATTTCTGTTTGGTTCTTTTCTATAGTTTCTATTTCTTTGATAAACTTTCCATTTTGTTTATGTATTTTCTTTTCCTGATTTTGTTTAATTGTCTTTTGTGTTTGACTCTTGCTGTTTCATCAAAACAGCTATTAAATTTTTTTTTTATCCACTAGACTGCAAGATTCTGTTTTGAGCTCAGTTATTTGGAAGATTATTATCTTTTGGTGATGATGTGTTTTATTTATTTTTCATGTTCCTTAGTTTTGCATTGCTGATTTTGCCTTTGATGTAGTGGACACCTCCTCAAATCTTTACAAGTTGTCTTCACATGGGGTACACTGTTGATTCTGTTATATCCGGGATACTCTCTGACCTTGTATTTATATACCTGTTCTGCACTTCTTGCTTCTTGTAACAAAATTCTTTTTTAATCTCTTATATATATATAATTGATTTTTTACAGAGAGGAAGGGAGAGAGATAGTCAGAAACATTGATGAGAGAGTCATCGATCAGCTGCCTCTTGCACGCCCCCTACTGGGGATGTGCCCACAACCAAGGTACATGCCCTTGACTGGAATTGAACCCTGGGACCCTTCAGTCCGCAGGCTGACGCTCTATCCACTGAGCCAAACCGGTTTCGGCTTGTAACAAAATTCTTAAGTTTTTATGTCATTTCTGCTTTTTACAACTCACCTGGCTGGTTTCTGGAAACCTTTCTTTTATTTTCCAGAAGGTGGTGCTATAGATCAAGTTTCTCTATTGACTATGTTTTCTACGTTATTATCTACTCTTCTCTTTGATTTTTATTTATTCTATTTACATTCCTATCATTTGGTGGGGATTTCAGAGAGAAGGGATAATAAACACGTATGTTTAATATGCTGTGTTTAGATTGATAGAATCTTTTTGGGTACAGTTTAAAAAGCATAAAACTTTGAAATGCTTATGTGCTTTGATGCAACTATTTCTAGATAACTAACCTGTAGAATAATAATTCTTGAACATAAGGAAATGTATACAAAGATGCTGACTCTAGCATTGATCATAACAGTGAAAAATCTGAAACAATAAGAAAATGATTGCATAAACAACATTATTGCAACAAGGAAAAAGAATGCTGCCTTGGTGGGGTAGCACAGTTGGTTTGAGAGTTGTCCCATACACCAAAGGTTCGATCCCTGGCAGGGCATGTACTGGAGGCAACCCATTGATATTTCTTTCTCACATTGATTTCTCTCTTCCATCCTCTCCCTCTAAAATCAATACACATATCCTCGGGCGAGGATGAAAAATAAAGTTTAAAAAAATGTTGTTTATTTGTCTGGGAATCTCTATAAGAAACATTCTTAAATTTAGAAAACAATGTATATTTTAACTCATAATTACCAGTGAATATAGATTATGGAAAACTTATTTACTGGTGTCAGTTGTAGGTTTTGTCAGATTGACCAAGGCCTCTGACTCGAGGCCAGGCATGTCCCATGTTCTCATACTTACTTACAAAGGGAAAGCTGTTCACCCAAAGGCTCTCATTAGGTTGAGCACATCATATAGGGATCATCACTGGACACACTAAGCCTATTGCTTATCTATAGGATGATTATTTATTTATTTATTTATTTATTTATTTATTTTTAATTTATCCCCGAAGGGGGTGCATCATCCCGGAGGTACTGCAATACCCGGTCGAGGCATGGAGTGGACAGAGCAAACTCCTATTCCATCTCCCAGCTTCAAAAATCCATTTAATATATTGTCCTTGGATAGAGGATGTATCGGATATTAAACTGATAAGAACAGATACTACACTTGATCTTAGCCAAAAGGCCGAGAAGCGATATAGGATGATTATTTTCTTCTCTCACCAAGGAAGGACTCAAATTCCTCCTCTGCAAATTAACCTGTTGAGGTCATTCCAAAGTGACTACACTGGCTTTCAATACATGATTATATAAATGATCTATTACTGCATGGAAAATGACCTCAAAACTTAATGACTTAAAGCAACATACATTTACTATCTCTCAGTGTCTGTGGGTCAGGGATCTGGGTTTGGTTTAGCGGATTCTCTGGTTCAAGGTCTCCCACCAGGTTGCTTTCAAGGCCAAGGCTGCGGCCACCTCAAGACTCCATCAGGGGATTCATTTCTAAGCTCACTGACATGGCTGTTGACATGATTCGGTTCATCACAGACTGTTGGCCAGGGTCTAAGCTTAGTTCCTTGCTTTGTGGGCTTTTGTGGGGCAGCTTGCAACATGGCAATTGGCTTCATCAGAGTGACCAACTAAGAAAAGCCAGAGAAAGAGAGAAAGAGCACAAGCAAATTGGAAGTTAGTCTATGTCACCTAATCTTAGACTCATCCATCATGTTTGCTATGTTCTATTTATTAGAAGTAAGACCCTGGGTCTAGCCCACTAGGTCCAGCCCTCAAAGGGAGGTACTTGCATAAGAGTGTAAGACCAACAGGTAGGGGGTGTCTTGGAAGCTGCCTACACTTGTTGACAAAGCCTGTGATACTATATTTAGAATAAACAAGATAGTTTGGCCTTGCCTTTATTTATAAACTAGAGGCCTGGCGCACAAAATTTGTGCGAGGGGTGTGTGTGTGTGTGTGTGTGTGTCCCTCAGCCCAGCCTGCACCTTCTCCAATGTGGAACCCCTCTGGGGATGTCTGACTGCCGGTGGGATTGGGCCTAAACCAGCAGTCAGATATCCCTCTCACAATCCAGGACTACTGGCTCCTAACCTCTTCACTGCCTGCCTGCCTGATTGCCCCTAACCACTTCTACCTGCCAACCTTATTGCCCACTAACTGCTCCCCTGCCAGCCTGACTGACACCTAACTGTTCCCCTGCTGGCCAGTTCGCCCCCAACTGCCCTCCCCTGCCAGCCATCTTGTGGCAGCCATCTTGTGACACAGTGGGGTGGCAATCTTGTGATGACATGAGGGCCACCTAGGCTTTTATTAGTATAGATTTGTCATCATAAAGGAGGAGGAGGAGGGGGTGGGGGGAGGAAGAGTGGAAGGATGAAGGAGGGGGAGAAGAAAGAAGAAAGAAGCCCCCAAAATGTGATTAATAGGTTATTCAGGAAGTTGTAGGAGTAAATTCAAAGGCAAACATTTTTCTAGTATAGGCCAAAATAAACTTTAAAGTAGTACAGCTCTTCATGAAATGATATCTTGGTGTTCAATATTTTTATTTCCTTCAACCTTTTGAAATAATTTCAACTTTAAAGTTGCAGGAACAGGAAAAGAATCTCATACACTCTTTACCCAGATTCATCCTTGGGGGGATAATTATATTTTGAATGCGTTGTGCATTTGGTCACGTGGGAAGGCAAGCTTTGTACCTCTACAGGCTTTGGCACCTGGTGAGAGGTGTCCAAGGCGGGCTGGAGCTGCCATTGCTCCAATGCGCTCTCTCCTCTCTCCTCCCGCAGAAAACCCTGAGCGAGCGGCCCTGTACTTCGTGTCGGGCGTGTGCATCGGGCTGGTCCTCACCCTGGCTGCCCTGGTGGTGAGGCTGTCCTGCCGCGCGGACTGCCAGCGGCGGCCCCGTGCCCGGAAGAAGTTCCTGCCGGACCAAGAGAGCAGCAGTGACAGCAGCGACAGCAGCGACAGCGAGGCCGGCAGCTCGGACATCTCGGTGCGGAGGCACCGCCGCTTCGAGAGGACTTTGAACAAGAACGTCTTCACGTCGGCGGAGGAGCTGGAGCGCGCCCAGCGGCTGGAGGAGCGGGAGCGCATCATCAGGGAGATCTGGATGAACGGGCAGCCCGAGGTGCCGGGGACCCGCAGCCTGAACCGCTACTACTAGGGTCCGTGCAGGCCCCGCACCGCTGGGAGCAGGACCCCGCACCGCAGGGAGGAGGGGAGCGGGGCTGCAGGGAGGGTGGGCGCAGCGCTGAACGCGGTTGTGCTAAGGGTCCCGCGGACCCCGGAGACAAGCAGGGCACCCCCACTTTCGAGCCAGGAGGACCGCTTCCTCTTTTTGACTAAAATGTATGGCGAAGTAGAAAACCCAAGTCGATCCCTCCAGGTCTCCGGATCTTGGAATGGTGCTGAAAATCCCTCCCCAACAACGTGGACGGAGGTTAGAGAACCAGGACTGTGGTTTCTTCTTGATGCCGGAGGATCCCACAAGTTCCTGCAGACTTCATTGCCGCGTGTTCTTCCTTCACGAAAGGAAAGCTGTGCCTAGCGCCAGGGCTAGGGGCTGCAGGGTGACGGTGGCCCGGCCAGTAGACGCATTTTTTTCTAAGTGACTCCAGGCCGTGGAGGGATTCTGATGCCCATAGCATGAGCCATGCTCGTTATTTAAGGCTGATTTTTAAAAAAAAAATCCTGTGTTGCAATTGCAACCTCGTCCATTTTAACTGGCACCTCAGGGATTAAAATCCTATATTTTAGTATAGTTTCCACTTCATTCATGAAAATGAATAGAATTAATGTATTATGTGGGGGATGTGTCAGTGAACTAGACAAATGTCAGTAACCTCAAAGGATGAAGGGTTCTATTTTACATAGTTTATTAAAAATATATATTAACATGGGTATTTTGAAAATGCTGCATAAGAATAAAAGCTGTCCTCCCCCCCCCCCCCTTTTTGGAGAGCGGAAAATTTTGTTACCGACTTTAGATAATCATGATTTTAAACATGTTGTTATAAAAAACAAAACAAACAAACAAAAACAAAACACCCCACAAGTTTGGATTTCCAAGAAAAGAATTGAAATGGCAGGTGAGGAATAAAGCCAAAATTAGGATGGGAGAAAAAAAATAAATGTTACATAAAATCTTCTTTGGTTTCATGCCTGTCTCTGTGGTTACCTTCACTGGCATCCCTTTTGTCAGATAACTGGAGGATTGCTGGAAATGGAGAAACTGGAACATGGAGCAATGGCCCCTGGGTGACTAGGGGCTTTTCATTTTTGTTGGTTATGTGTTAAAGTTACAGTCCCGTTGACTCATTGTGAGGCAGACAGAGAACTAGGAGAATTACCTAATGGTGATCCCATATGGAGAGAAGTTGTCAGGGAAGGAAGAGAAAGCACCTCCACCAGACTGATAGAATCGTGCATTCTGTCCCCTGCTCCCTTCTCTTGAAGCATCCAGACAGACAGTGGGTCCCACAGTCTGGATGCTTCAGAGCCTTCCTACTCTCCGTTGGCTTCATCACCATGCCTGAGAGGATGGACTGGAGACTTCCTCTGCTGAGAGAAATGGAGAAACTGGAAAATGGAGCAATGGCCCTTGCTGAACGAGGTGTCTCTGAGGTCTCTACTACTTTAGCAACTGCTCTCTAAGACGGGCTTGAAGGCTTGGAGGGCTGTCTTGGAAATGAACAATCACAGTTCTCTATTTGACAAGGGGGCTATACAGTGTGCTTGAAGTCCTCAGTGGCTGGCCCAATTATTTCATTGGGGGAAGGGGGCTCCATTGGCTAGTAACAATTACCAAAATTAGCATCTCTGAATCTGGGCCCCAACCTTGTGGTTTCAGTCCCTGGACAGCAGCGCAGGAATCACACCACTCCCCTAGGCTTCAGGTGAACAGATCGATCTTCGCCTCTGGCTCTTAGGAAAATGGAACAATGGGGAGCTGCTGCCATCCCCTGGATGTACCCAAAGCTGGTAATGGCTTGGGATACGGCCCTTGTAAAGCAGCGGCTACTGGGATGGCCGTGGTGGAGGTGTATGGGGAGACTCTGGGGCACCTGGCCTCCCCAGTTCTCCAATATCCCGATGCCTTTCTACCAAGGTCATAAGGTTTCCGTTTTTAGGGTGTTGGGGGCTTTGACTGGGAGAAATGCACTATGTAGCAGTTCCACTGCTTTACTTCTAGATGCCAGGATTCCAGCTTTTCAGCCAAAGACAAGGAAACCTCCACTGTTACCTTCCCTGTCTTGACAGAAGCAGTTTTATAATGTAGATCTGTCATTCACCCCTGGTTTCAGTTTCTATATTAGGACACTTTAATTTGCAAAAAAAAAAAGGATACCTAACAGCATTTGTTGATTTACATAACCAGGAAGGGATCTGGCTTCAGGGATGATTTGGTCTTAAGGCTCAAATGCTATCAAAAAGGTTAGTCTTTCTCAGCTCTCAGCTCTGCTTCTCTCGGTTGCTGGTCTCATTTTCTTCCACTTCAGGTGAAACTATAACGTGTGTACCAGTATACTGTGTTGGATTGTTTGCTACGGAGCAAGCTCCACACAGCTCACATAGTGTGTGTGTGTGTGTGTGTGTGTGTGTGTGTGTGTGAGAGAGAGAGAGAGAGAGAGAGAGAGAGAGAGAGAGGAGAGATTCACCATTTACTTAGTTGAGAAGTCAGCACGAAAGGGATGTTTTCAGTGCAGCTTCCCTGATTGTCTTCCATGATTCCACAGAGAAGCACTAGCTGACAGTTGAGCATCTGAGAAGACATGAGGAATTATAGGTGCCTTAGAAAGCTCCCACCAGCTTCCCTTAAGAGCCTCTTCTTGTGCTGTAAGGCGCAAGTGGTAATTATCAGCTCATGGCACGTGGAAACCCACCCAGCTGAACCTTCGCCATTGGCAGGGAGCATACCATAGGCACTTGTGGGTTTATTAACATCATTCCAATACAAGGAAATAAAAGAAAGAAACATCGTGCTTCAAGATTCAAAGTTAAAATCACAGGGAAGGACTACTTGGCCTATCTTTTGTAGTGTGGCCATCCGTGGACCAACCACTGTGGCCCAGCAAATGCGTCTGTCTAAGGAGAGAGTAGAGATAAGGTGTTGGGCAGACATTAGCAATAGCCATTGCACCACCCTTTCCTTTCTTTCTTGGCTCTCCTACTATCTCTCTTGATTTTTAAAAAATCTTTCTTTTAATGCTTTATTCTTTGAAGTATTACACATAGTATTACATAAGTCTCCTCCCCCCCCCCCCCCCCGCCCCCGCCAGTGACCTCTCTTCGGCCACCCCTTCTCCTGCACATGCCCTCCCCCAGTGTCTGTGTCCATTGGTTATGTTTATATGCATGCATACAAGTCTTTTTACCACTACCACTACCACTCCCTCCTCCCCCCCCCCCCCCCCCCCCCCCCCCGGCTTTCCCTCTGAGGTTTGACAGTCTGTTTCATGCTTCTTGTCTCTGGATCTATTTATATTCACAAAAAGATGGAACACTTCTCGAATTTGTGTGTCATCCTTTCGCAGGGGCCATGCTAATCTTCTCTGTATTGTTCCAATTTTAGTATATGTACTGCTAAAGTGATCATTTTTTAAAATCTTTCTTACTGTTATCCCTTTTTCTTACCCTCTTCAATATGGGTCTGTACTTCTAGCCTTGACCCTCTAATTTTCTCATTCCAAATATCCCAAGACATCTCATAGATTGCAGTGGCTCTCACAACCTCCTACATGCTGATGATTTGCAAAGTCCTTCCCCAGTCCTGGCTAAGTTTCAGGCACATATAGCCCACTGGTCCTCAAATGGCTATAATAGGAGATAGTTGTCCTTCAAATATTGGCAATGCCAGATATTTTGGTTGTTACAAGTGCGTTGGTGGGTTGGATGCACTTGTTATCTTGTAGGTAGAGGGCAAGGATGCTGCTAACCATCCTATAATGCTGAACTCAGCCTTCCAACCATTCCATCAAAGCCCCAGCCTGTGAGCGAAAAAATCTCCTTATGATTCCAGCCATATGTTTCTTCTAAACTAAAGCCCCAGATGTGGTAGAGTAGACATAAAGCATTTCTGCTGAGCCCCATCCAATATCTTGGCCTGCAGAATACATGAGCATAATAAGTCGGTGGTGGTTTTATGCCACTAAGTTTCGAAGTAGTTTGCCATGCAATATATGACTGGACAATTCTCCAAACTGCACTCACCTTCTCCAAAACCTACTGCTCTGTCTATATTTTTATAGGTTTATGTTTCTATCATATGTCAGTTATGACAAGACAAGTTGTAGAGTTACCCAAGTCAGAAGTCTGGGACTGATTCCAGTCTCTTCTATTTTAACCTTCACATATAACCAATTAGCAAATTTCCCCAATTTTAAGTTATTTGTATTTCTTGCATCAATTATTTCTTTACAGTCTAATTCAACCCCTTATTATTTCCTGCCTGGACACTTGTAAAAACTTCTAAACTGTTCTCTGAGTCTTGCCTCCTTCCATATCACCCTGAATATAGATACCAAAGTGATCTCTATTAAATGTGTCGCTGCCCATGTGCCCATCCCTTCCCCACCCAACTTTCTTCCTGTTGTTTATTGAAACTCTTCAAATGCCTCTAAATAGCATGCCAGGTCCCCATGTTTCATCTCCTGCTCCTCCTTCCTGCCCATTCTTTTCACTTTAATCATATTGAATTGCTTATTCCTGTCCATTTCTTTCACTCTAATAATACTGAATTGCTTATAGCAACTCCAATAATATTGAATTGCTTCTTCCACACAGAATGATCTACTCTGATCATTGTTTTGCCTAAAACATCTTCCCCCAATCTATTTCTCCCACTCTTCTACCCATCCTCAAGATTCAGCATGAGTCTCATCTAACAGGGAGACACATCCACGCCTTCTCCAAGCAGAGCTAGTCTCATCCTCTAAGTTTCCATGTATTGTGCTTGTTATGATCATTGCTCTTACCACCTTATTGTGAAATTATCCCTCTGTGCTTCAAAGGCAGGGACTCTGTCTTATTCTTTTGGGTCCCAGTAGGATACACAGAGCCTGCCACATCATATGCTTTCAGCAATTACTTATTGAACTGTAGTAAAGCCTTGATGTATTCGCCAAACACTATTTCCTCTGCCTCCTGGCCACATCGATGGGCTGCATTTCCCAGTCTCTTTTGTAGTTAGCTGTGCCCATGTGACCAGTTCTGCCCAATGGATTACAGCAATCTTCCCTAAGTGACATTTACTGCTTTCTCTATAGTTAATCATTCATTCCCTTGTGTCTTTCAACTTTAGATTCTCCCATCAATTCTTCTACATCAATTCGTATGTGACCAGGTGGTATGTCTATCATTGTACTTTTCAAGTTCAGTTCAGCATTGAGAGCTGTACAAAGTTCTTACAGGTTCATAAGGGTTGGATGTTCCTTCTTGAAGTTACAAAGGCTGTTCTTAACCTTATTGATGATCAATTTTCTAGTTCCTCTGGCTTGAAGTAAAGGGAATGTTTTAAAGCTTAACCATTGGGAGTGTGCCTCTTGTTCTTCCAAAGTAGTCACATCATTTATCCTTTTTATTCCTACTTTCAAGATCGTCTTACTTTCACTTGATCTGAGGCACTTGACCCTCAGATGCATTTAAAATCTCCTTTGTACTGGAAAAAAAACATCATTCAATCAGTGCAAGAGGGACCTGCCAGATGCAAATCTCTTTTCCTGGCCATCTTTCCTTCTTGTTTTCTTTCCTTCAGCAGTAGGAAGAGAACTGGGACTAACAGTGACAAAAATAAAATAAAAAGTGACTTGCACTTCCAACTCCCATTTAAGAAACACAAGGAACGGAGAGGCACTAAGAAGAAAGATTTATCTGGGCCTAAAGCCAGGCCCCCTACTGGGAAGTCCATTCATACTCAGAATTGCACAACCAGCTCCACATAGTCAAAAAGATGTGGTGATGAGCTAAAGATTTTCCTTTGTATTCCTGTTAATGTACATTTTTTTTCATAGTTTCTGGTCTTTTTATGCAGAGTATCTGATATCTTATACCATGTTATGACACCAAGCCTTATGTATGTCTTTGGAATGGAAAAACTGTTTCCACTCCATGCAATAGCTGTATATTTGTGAGTGAATTCCTTGAATGGGA